CGCTCTGGTGCCTGCGCCTGGGCAGCTCGAGGGTAAGCTTACCGTGTGCACCTACAACTGCAACACGTGGAACACGGCCTCCAGTGTCCACGAGTGGATGAGGAAGAAGGGGATGGCACCGCACGCGACGTTCGTCCAGGAGACGCGCTTCACATCTAACACGGCGGTGGAGCAGGCCCATGGTTGGGCCAGCCGAGGAGGCCACCAACTCGCGGCCTCAGGGGTCCTGAGGACTGGAGATGCCGCCACGGCGGTCTCGTCGGGAGTGGCCATAGTCTCCTCGTCGCTGCTGGGCACCGCGAGATACCTTCTGCCCTGGGGTGGGGCCCCACATCGGTTCATCGCTCGTCGAGTCTCCGTGGGCGAGGGCACCATGATTGCCATGATCTGTGTACCTCGAGGACTCGATGGGGCTCCAGGGGCCCAACAGGCAACTGCTGGAAGACATCCACGCGTGGTGCGCTCACCTGGACGAGCCTTTCATCATAGGTGGCGACTGGAACATTGAGGCCAGCGAGCTGGCCACCTCAGGCCGGCCTGAGCTCATGGGAGGAGCTGTCCTGGCTCCTGGGCCGGCCACATGCAACGATAATAAGTACGATGACTTCGTCATCTCGCGCGCGCTAGAGGACCTGGTGGACTCCCTCACGTGCCACGCAGACATCCCCAACGGCCCGCACCAGGTAGTGTCGCTCGTGTTGCGTGGCTGCTGGAAGCGGCCCATGATCCAGACGCAGCGCGCGCCGAAGGTTTTTGGGCTGGAGTTCGAGGCAGATGAGGAGGCCAGGACCAGGCGCGACCAGCTAGTGGCCACCCTCCCCTGGCCACCGCCTGGCTCAGGCCTAGAGGGAGTAGTCAAGGGCTGGTTTAATCAGGCTGTGGAGGCACTGCAGGCTTTGCATGGAATGCCCAGCGGTGAGGCTCGGTACTACAAGGGCAGATCCAAGGGCCTCAGGGCGGTCACAGTTCCTCTGGAGGCCAAGGTCCAGGAGAACCGCTTTGATCGAGCATCGGAGGTCACCTTCCTCTGGCTGTCGCTGCGCCACCTGTCCAAGAGAAGGTGGGACTTGGGACCCATCGGGCCCAACGCCCTGCCCAACTGCTACAGGGCCAGGCGAGCGCAGCAGCTTTTCGAATCAGCCAGCCGCTTGAAGGTCAAGTTCCAGGAGCAGTCCATCACGATGTTCGATGGCACGGTGTTCTTGAGTTTCTGGGGCGAGATCGGCCTCCAGACTGAGTTGGGCTACGAATTCTTACTCGCGATGGAGCAGGTTGTGGCTAAACGCACCAAGGATGATGCAAAGGCCAGCAAACTCAAGTGGGATAACTTCTCGGAGCAGGCCTTTGAACGTCAGGGTTCGTTGGCCCACAAGGTTATCAAGAAGACGCATGGAGAGCCCAACCCCGTCCTTGAGGCAGGCACGGTGGACCATGCTCTGGTGGGCCAGCCTGCTCTGGAGAGGGTGCTAGCTGACTGGCTCCCCCTCTGGTCTGATCCCAGTCGGAGCGGCCAGGAGCACCCTGGTCTTTGGGGCGTTGGCGAGTGGGTGCTGCCGCCGATCACGGTGGACGACATCGAGCTCGCGTCGCGCAGGTTCTCCAAGCACACGGGCCTTGGCTGGGACAATGTCCACCCGCGCTTGCTGCTGGAGGTGGGAGGAGGACATCCTGGCCAGGCTCGCCAGTTTGCTCCACTCCTGGGAGCGCGCTCCCTACTGCGGCGAGATGTGGACCGTGAGCATGGTCTCCTCGCCGAAGCCCGATGGCGGGCAGCGGCCCATCGGGCCCGCGCCGCTGCTGGCCAGGATCTGGTCAAGAGTGCGCCAGGGCTACACGGCCAATTGGGAGAGGTCGCTGGAGCAAACTCCCTTTTGGGGGACCTCGGACTCGCGGGGATGTGACAAGGCGGCCTGGCTCCACAATGCGTTCGTGGCCCACGCCAAGCACGTGCAAGATGAGGCCGCCTCCATCTACATGGATCTGCAGAAGTACTACGAGCACATCGGCCACGCCGAGCTCAAGGTGGCGGCACGGGCCTGGGGGTTCGACCTCGGGCTCCTCAGGGCCCTCTGCGTCACCTACCTGGCGCCGCGACGGGCGCGCATCAGCTCTTGCCTCGGCGAGGCGGTGGCGCCCAACGGCACGGTGGTGGCTGGCTGCTCCTGCGCCACGGCGCTGGCGAAGCTGCCCCTGCTCTCGGCGCTTCGGGCCGCGGCGCCCATTGCCAGGCTGCTCAACGTGGTGGACGACGTGTCGGCCCACGTCACAGGGCCCCGCTCCATGGTGGCCCTGCAGCTGGGAGCCACCTACAGGGCCTTCTGCGAGAAGGTGCTAGAGGCTAACCTGCCGCTGAGCAGGCACAAGACCAAGGCTCTCGCCACAAGCAAGGAGCTGCGCCAGGCGCTGATGCGGCAACCTGACTGGGACCTCGGGCCCGACGGCTTCGTGGACATGCACAGGGACCTCGGCGGAGACGCGATCTCAGGGTCGCACCACCGTGTCACGACCGCGGCCGCGCGAGAGCAGCAGGCGCGAGCTCAGGGCAGGAAGCTCACTAATATGTTCCGTCCTGGCCTGGGCCGTGCGAGGGTCTACCGCGCAGGCCCCGCGGCCAAAGCCACCTGGGGTTCGTCCATCATGGGCGTCCCAAACGGCAGGCTGCGCCAGCTGCGCGTCGGGGCGATCAAGGCTAGTGGGCGCTTGCCCCGTGGGGCCGCCTTGGGGCTGGCCAGCCTGGCCCATGCGAATGGCTGGAAGCGGGGCCCGCTGACCATCGTCACCAGGACCGCGCTCATGGCCTACGTCGAGGTGATCTGGGCCTCGCTGCAGCCTGAGGCGGCAGCCCGCTCCTGCCTGGCCAGGGGCCTGGCGCTCGCCCAGCAACGGCATCCCTGGCGGCAGGTCAAGGACCCCATCAGCGCGCTGGTCCTCACCTTGGAGCGCGTCGGCTGGGGCTTCATGCAAGGCGACCCCTAACTGGTCCATGACAGCACGGAAGCCGCCTACGACGTCAGGAGGCATTCTCCTGCCTTCTTTGGCAGCATGTTGGCGCAGCGTTGCCGTATCGCCATTGGGCTGGAGGAGGTGGCCAGGCAGGGCCCCAGCATGTGAGGCTGGAGCATCCCGCCCTTCTGGCAACCGATCCTGGATCTTGCAAGTCATCGGTCTGAGGTTTGGGACCAGCACCACCAGCGGGCGCTGCGCAGCCTCATCCAGAACACCTACTGGTGCCAGGCCAGGGTCGCAGCGGCTGACAGCTCGCGCGCGGTGCCGTCCAATTGCCAGCTCTGCGGGTTCCAGGACGGCTCGCTCTTCCACAGGCGCTTTCGTCGTGAGGCTCACGAGGCCTGGAGGCGTGACTACTTGGAGGAGCCGCTGCGCGGAGCCGCGGCTCGAGTTGAGAGCCTGGGCTATCCTTTCGCCGACCTGTTCGCCAGGGGCCTTTTCCCCGGCGTATCGGAATTGATGGACAGGCCTGTTCGGCCAGCAACGGACCACTTCGAGAGTTCGACGAGCTGGTACACGCTGGGGCCCCACCTCCACGGGCACCACGTCTTTGTGGACGGCTCGGGCCTCGACCAGGCCTACCCGCGCCTGCGCACCGCGGGCTGGTCCGTGGTGGTCTTTGATGCGGCCTGCAGGCTGGTGGCAGAGGCGTGGGGAGCGGTTCCGATTGCGGAAGCCCCCGAGCAGCTGGCCAGGGACGGCGAGGACTACGCCGTGAAAGTCCTCACGTCTCAGGTGGCAGGGGGCAGCTACAGGCTCTACGTGGACTGCATGGCCACAGTGCGCTGCGCGGCCAACCCGTTGGCGGCGGCCGCCGCCAGCAGCCAGCGAGCGCACCTGTGGGCTGGCCAGGCCGAGCAGCTGCAGGACGTGACGGTCGTCAAGATCAAGGCCCACTTGGGCCCCAAGGCCGTCGCAGACGGCCTCGTCTCGCGGTTCGAGATGGACGGCAATGCTCGCGCCGACAGGCGAGCCAAGCAGGGCGCGGCGGCGGCCAGGGTGAACCTCAATGACGTCCACGCTGTCGAGGGCTGCCAGGCGCTGGCTCGCCAGGCGGCGCGGTTCGCCGCCGCGCACGAGGTGCACATTTCGCGTACCAACGTGCTCGACTCCATGGGCGTGGTGGCACTGAGGCTGATTGACCTTGGAGAGTGGCCGCAGTGGCCCGCTGAGTTCGAGGATGAAGTGGAGGGCGCCGACGTTGAGGCCGCGGCCAGCTCCCATGCGACTGTGGGGAGCACGCCGACGGAACCCGATGTCGTGCCCGCTGGACTGCAGCCTTGGCGCGTCGGCGGGCACACTTTGCTCGCGGCGCCCATTGTCGTCGATGAAAAGGCACGATCGGCCCAGCGGTCGAGCGGCAGCCTCCTCTTTTGTACACCGTGCCGAAGGTATGTATCTGATAAACGGGGACGAGGCCTCCAGGATAAGTGTCCAGGAGGCCCGATCCCCAGTGCCAAGAATAATAATTCCGCTTTGAAGCACTTGAAGCACCCCAAAGGGAACAGGCTTCTTGGGAGCTTGCGGTCGCCCTTAGAGTCCGAGATCGAGTTTGGGTCTGGGCATTTTCCCCCCGAGCCTCCAGTGGTGGCCCAAACGGGTGCACCGACGGCTGGCCCTAAGAGGCCCGGCGTCCTGGAAGTCCTGCCTTCTTTCGGGCTTCAGCTGGCCGATGCCCAGCGGTTGGGGCTCAGAGCTCTGGAGGCCAGGGCGGAGGCCCAGGCCCGTAGGGCCCGTGGTGTTTCGGGCCCCGAGGACCCCCTTGACCTCTCAAGCGTTGCCCCTGGCGCGGCCGTGCCGTGCTGGGGCTGAGTCTGGGAGGCTTGGGGGCTCCCGAGGGTCGAATTCGTGTGCAAGACCCTTTTGGGTCGAGTCTAGCCTCCTCCTCCTCCTCCTCCTCTTCTGTTTTTGTGTTCTCGCGCGTCGGGGCTGCGTCGGGGTCCTAATTGGGCCCGCTTGGGGCCAATCTTGAAGCCACCCTCGGAGCGGAGCACTTTTTCACAGCGAGCGGGCAGGACGCCGAGGTCAAGGTGCGGGGAGGGACGGCGTGAGGTGCTGACCTCATCACTCTACGGTTGTGGCCAGGAGGTCGGCGTCGAAAAAGAGGTAATGACCAGGCAAGGCGCCGCGATGGAAGGTGCTTAGACCTCTCGCGACGTGCTCGGCCACACGCAAGAGCGGCCCTTGGCAAGAACGGCTTCAGGTGCGCGGCTCCACGGGGCAGGCCTGAGGCCTTGGGGGAGCAAGTCCAAGCGCGCAAGCCGGTGCTGCTCCTCCTCCTCCTCGTCCTCCTCATCGTCCTCCTCCTCGTCATCCTCGTTGTCGTCGTCGTCCTCCTCCTCGTCCTCGACGACGACGGAAACGTCCTCCTCCTCGTCCTCCTCGTCCTCCTCGTCCTCCTCCTCCTCCTCCTCCTCCTCTTCCTCTTCCTCTTCCTCCTGCACCAGAAAGTCACTCTGGCGAAGGGTTGCGCTTACGCGTCGCCGGCGCACGGATAGCCGGTGCGGCCGGTCACGGAGCCGCGCTGCGTGAGTCCTGCGGCCCGCGTCCTTCTGCGATGCCGTGCCGGGCGGCGCCTGAGGGCCCCCCTGCGAGGGCCCACAGCTGCAAGGGTCGGCGATTTCGGCTTCGGTCCTGGACGGTGCCGCCGCTCTGTGCACATTCCGCGTCGACGCACCGAGCGGAGGAGGAGGGAAAGGGGAAGCTGCAAGAAAATTCACGCGGCAGTCTCGAAGCCCACTCCATGGGCTTCGAGACGCTGTCGCTGAGACTGGAAGGCGCACTGTGCCCCAAATCTGTGCACCAGTCCGCGAGGTTAAAAATAAGCACGGTTCGACCGTGCATGGCTGGCCTGCCCGCCACCTTGCGTCCTCCAAGATCACAGCTCCACTGCGACATGATGACGAAGGCACGCACCAGCGTCTGCACTCAGGAACGCCCAAGAAGAGCTGAAGCCCTGGGCTCGGCCAGAAAGTCAAATGACTCCATAATCGTCAGTATTCGCGCCTGCAGATGGTTCAAGCCGCAGCTGCCTGTAGAGCAGCGCAATGACGTGGAAATATTATGGCCAGCCTTCACAAGCGCACCGTGGCGCAAAGCACAGAAGTGCCGCGGATCCAAAAGGTACACGGACGCAACAGATGCACGAGCGTCGCAATCAGCTGAAGCTACTGTTCAGTGGGCAACTCACCAGGGTCGTAATGGAACTGATCACATTTGGACCTCCATGTGCCCGCAGATCAAAACCTTTTCAAACTTCTTGCTGGCGCGCCGGGGAGCCACCACCGACATATGAAATGTCTTGGAGGCACAAGCGAATTATACACAGCTGTTGAAATCAAATGTTGAAAACCCCTTTCAAATTGCGAATCGGAATCTGTACAACAACAATCACACCACTCGTGGGAGCAGTAGCCATGCCGCAGCACAGCCAGGCACTGTTTGGCTGGACCACGGCGGACCTTATACTGAAGTCCTTGACGAGAGCAAGGAAACGATAGAAGCAAACATAAACTTTCGGAGGCCTGCGCGATTTCCTAGGATCGACGTTTGACCCCCGCCCCTGCACGCGGAGCGCGCCAGGGGCGGCGCTGGAGGTCCAGTAGATGGACAATCTAGTCGAACCCTTACACATTCGAGGGAGATTCTAAATCACCCCCGCGCCCCCGACATCAATGTTGATCTCAGTGTAAAGGCGGTGCTTTGGGGTTCAAATCTTTCTGTCCACTCACGCCCCCCCCCCCCCCGTCGCCACGCTATCAGCATTCATTTCGGGGGGTCTGGGGGGCATCTTGGGCCACAGGGCTCGAATCTAGTGTCCATGCACGGTCCCACCAGGGGAGCCCCAGCGCCGATCCAGCAGATCCGCGCTGACCTCCGACGGCTCATGCCACTGCAGCTGGTTGACCATCGGCGGAGGCTCGCGGGTGCGGGGCCCGAGGCGTGCCACGAGAAGCCAGCCGGCCCCCTCGGCTCAGGGCGCCTCCCCGTCCAGCCCTCTCTCTCCCCGGGAGGCGCGAGGCTCGGGCTCGGGAGGCTCGGGCTGGCCCGACGGGGCCATCCGGGAAGTGTGACGAGACCCCATCTGAGACTTGACGCGAGCTCCCGCTGCAAACGCCCCACGAAAACTGGACCGCCACGCTGCAAACGCCCCACGAAAACTGGACCGCCACACTTCAGGGTTTGAGCAGGGACGGGCCGTCCAGGCATTCCTATAGTCCTACCACGAAGCGGTCTTAGAACCCAGCAATGTTCTAAGAGCAAAAGCAATGTTCTTAGAACATGAGCCCGATGTGTTCAAACAAGACAGACTCCGCAAGAAATGCTCTTAAGAAAATTTCGTGGAATCTACAAAAGGCTCTTAGAACAGTGTTTGGTAGGGCTATCGGCGAATCAGGACGCTTCGCCACTGCTCGAAGGATGGACGCGCGAAGACCGGCATGCGGGTGGGGGGTCCAACCCCCCCCCCGCCCGCCCCCCACCGCTCGCACACGATCGCTGCCGTCACCCAGGGGGCGGGATCGGCCCAGGTAGCGACCGTGGCGCGCCAGTGATGATGATGATGATGATGATGATGATGATGATGATGATGATGATGATGATGATCCACGCATCCAAGAAGGTCTGGAGATCCCCGCTCGATACAGCCTCCCGAAGCCGTGGCCTTTCCCTCTGGCGCTGCGGACGCAAGGCCTGGCCCGTGCCCAAGGCACACTCGCAGCCTCGCCTGAAGACTAGAGGCCACGCCATCCGCCTCGGCCGAGGCAAGCGGAAGGCAGGGCATCGAGCATTCACGGCAACTCAGCATGCTGGCTCGAGGTGCCACAGCACCGCAAACCTCCCGCTGGCACCAGGCCACAGACAGGGAAGGTTTGCAATGCGGTGGCCTTCGGAGGCAACCATGGCGGTGTGCGAACCTACCACCACGGTCCAGCCTCCGACTGGCGGCACAGAGCAGAGCAAGCTGGGGCGCAAGAAGCGCTGGCCGTCGCGGCAAGCGCGCCAGCCACTATATTAAACGGAGCGCTCCAGTGCGTGGAAACCAACACACCTGGTCCAGCTTCCGCTCGAGCGAGAGCCGTGCAACGGCACGAGCTAGCTCAAGAGCGGGACACGAGCGCCGAGCAAAGGCTGCCTAGCCTGCAGCATCGCCGCGTCCAAGGGACGTAACGTTGCCGCTGGCAGCAGAGCCCGATCCCGAGCGTGTGAAATCCTACGCTCCTGGTTCAGCAGCAACACAGATGGGACGGGCGGCGCTGCTGGAGAGCGGCGCGGAACGCGCCTCGCAGCAGCGACTGCCCCCGCAAGGCAGCACCCTCACGCGACCTGAGGCACCAAAGTAGGGTTTGGTTGCCTTGCAGAGGCAGCCCGAACAGCCGTGTGCTAAACACACGTCTGTTCAATTGATGGCAGATAGAGCGAGGCGGCAGCGTGGCAAGAAAGAGCCTAGCCACCATCGACGCGCCTGCGCATGCGCCGCAGCGGCTCAGGGTCACCGATGCCGCCCGTCCCAGCGGGCTGCAGGCCGCGCTTCAGCCTGCTGAGCACCGCCTTCTGCCTATCGTTCTTGGGGGCCTTCGGGCACTCCGCTGCCAGGCCCGCCATCCTACGGCTCTGCGTCCAGTAGCCGCACTTCGCGCAGAAGAGGTGGTTACCAGCCCGCCACAGGTCGTGGGAGCCGTGGGCGTCGAATCCCCACCACGGCGGGAGCTGCGGCGGCGGCAGCGGCGGGGGCCCGCCACCGGCCCCAGAAGGGCCCCCAGACGTCGGCGGGCTTCCCCGCTGGCCGCCGCCAGGCGCGCCGCTGCCGACTCGCCCTGCACGCGCCTCGTCTCCTTCCACCTGTGCTGGTGCCTCGCTGGCCTGACTGTGGGACAGCAGCGCCGCGCCCGCCGTGATGAGCGCCGCGGCTGCAGCTACCGATCCGCCACTGCTCTCGGCCCCGGAGGCCCAGGAGCCCGCGAGCGCGTCGCCCCTGCCCGCGCACTGCTGGCAGGCCCAGACCGTGTCGCCGTCGACGTCCAGCCACGTCCCGTGCCGCCCGCACGTGCGCTGCGGGCAGTCGGGGAAACTGCAGTGAGCTCGCCATCGCATCTTGCAGCCGCGCCAATCGCACCGAACTGCTTCCATGCCTGGGCCCTCGTGCCCGTCCGCTGCGGTGAGCTCGGCGTCGCCGTCCTGCATCGCCGCACCCAGCCAGCAGAATACCTTCTTGACGAGACGATCCTGCCTGCGGCTCCTGTCTCGCACGTCGTCGTCGCTGGGATGCATCTGCGCGCCTTGCACGGCGCGGGCATCGGCGCTGTGATTGCCCCGCCGCTGCCAGGCCGTGACGCGCTCCGCCTGCACGTCCGCCAGCGTGGCGCGCGCTTTCACCTTGTGGATGGTGACGCTGCCGACCCCCACGTCGTCGAGGGCCGCCCAGAACCGCACCCACAGCTCGCGGTAAGGCCGCTGCCACTGCAGGCACCACGCCTTGCCCGCCGCGAAGCCGTCCACGAGCAGCTTGCAGTCAGTGAAGATCCGCACAGGTGGTAAGCAGCTCTGGATGCCCTCGATGGCCGCCACCAGCTCCGCTGCCCCTGATTCTTGTGGATACGGCCAGGGGAGCGGGCCGAAGAGGCTGACTGCCTCGCCGTCGGGTCCCATGACGACGACCGCCCAGCCGCCGCGCGCCGAGACGAGGCTGGGGTCCAGAACGCTCCCGTCCGTGAAGAGGTCGCCCGAGAGCGGCTGCCCCACCAAGTCGGCACGGCCCTCCTTCCGCGCCTCCCTGGTGTCGGTGGGCGGTGGCAGGGCCCTTCGGTGCTCGGGTGCAAGAGCGCGGGGCCAGAGCGGGTCCTCCTCTCCCCCGATGCTGGCCATACCGACGATGGTGCGAAAGGGGATGTCGCCATGGGGGCACCGCTCGTCCGCCTCCTCGTTGGAGATCCACTCGGCGCGGCTAGCCTCGGTGGCTGGGCACTGCCACGCCAGGTGCCGCACTGTGCCGTGCGCAGGGCATCCCCTGGGGCACCAAGGAGAGGAGGCCAATGGGCGCTCCTCAAAGAACCGCCGCGCCACGGGCCAGAGACATCCGACCAGCGCGTTCTTGGCAGAACTCATCTGCTTGGCCTTATGCTTGCTCATGCGCTTGCGTGCCAGTGTGCGCCAGATACTGGACAGGGCGCCTCCATCGCGCAGATGCTCCAGCCCTGGGTGCTTGCTCGCTGCTCGCCACAGCGCCCTCTCGTGGCCATCGGCGATGTGCTTGGCGAGCGTGGAGGCCCCCAGGGTCCGTAGGTCCAGCGGCTGCTGCTTGTCGTTGGTGAGCAACCCTGGCAGTGTGGCGGTCCAGCCCAGGCGGTGGCAGGCTAACACGCACGCAGCAGCTGGCCCGCGTCCAGCCAACGCCTCAGGCCCGCCTCTGGCCAGCAACGTCCTAGCCCCCTGCGAAAGCGCTGCCCAGGGCCCTCAGGCCCCTACTGTCCGAATTGAACTGCACCGCTTTGGCCCATGCGACAATGGGCAGCGCCACGTGGTCGTACAGCGGGTCGCAGTGCAGACGCTGAGGAGGAGACTGAGGCTGAGGCTCTTGCCTTGGCCGCGCCCATGGTGAACGGCGTTGACCTGGCTCCTCCACTTGTTGAGCTGCGACGTCGGCCAACCCACCACACTCAGCCCATAGCGAGTAGCAGGCCGCAGACCAGTGTTCGCCACTCGAGCTGCTGCTGGGGTCTCCTGCGAGCGGATGGCGTGCAATCTCTGCAACTGGGATGCCGCCTTCGTATGCCGCTTCTCGAGGACCACGAACGCCTGGCCGTCGAGGCAGTAGTCGACCCCCAGGTTCTTGACCGAGTCGGCGATGGGGAAGGCGATGCCTCCCATTAGCTTGGCGACCAGTGATGCCAGCTCTGGCGAGCTGGCCAGCAGTTCGCTCTTTGCTGCTGAGACCTTGCAGCCTAGGGCCTCCAGCTGTGAGATGACCGCCTTCGTCGCCTGGGCCACGTAGGCTGCGACCTGTGCCATCGGTCCGTGGCAGCCGACGCAGCAGTCGTCGAACATGATGGCGAGGGTGACTCTGGGCTCGAGCGCCCGCCACAGCCGCGCATGCTCGTCCGCGAGCACCAGCAGGTCGCACTTGAGGAGCCGACCCGCATGCGAGCACCCCGCGATGAGTCCCGCATCCAGCAGGTAGGGCTCGGACACGCTACCATCAAGCATGAAGCGGCGCTCCCCCGCGTACAGGGTGAGGGCCATGCCCAGCAGGCCCCGAGGGTAGCCAGCCAGGACGCCGCGGCCCTGGATGATGGCCAGGTCCACGAGCTCGTGGGCCTTCCATAGGTCGATGAGCGCCGCTGCTGCTCCTTCTCCACGTGCGCGTGCGGCTTCTGCGCGCAGGGCTTGCCACCAGACGGCCTCTTCGGCCGCGCGGCCGCGCCCCCCCCAGAAGGCGCCTGCGACGCCAGGGTCAATCTGCGAGTCCCAGCGCCGCGCCACGGGCTGACGGACTCGGCTCCAAAGGCGAGGGAGCCAGCCCAGCAACCCAATGGGCCGAAACCCGCCCTAGGGCTTCGGAAGCATGGCCACAAGCGAGTCCGTGATGACGTCGGGCCAGCCGCCGATCTCCTCACACTTCATACCGAAGTCAACGACTGCCTCCAGAAGCTCGTCGCTGAGGTCCGCGGCCCTCCGTGGGTTGAGGCGGTCGCTGCCGACGCCAGTGCCGTGCCTGAAGGTCCTGGCGGCCATGCGCAGCTCATCGGCTGAGGGCCTGGGGAGGGCCTCGCCGCCAGAGCGCGGGAGCTGCGGCCGAAACCTGTCACGGTCTCGCCTGACCCGCCAGACCTCTGTTGACCATTGCTTCGCCACAACCTTCACTCGGTCTGGGGCATGGGCTGGGGCCTGATTGTACTCGTCGTCAGGGGCCCATGCCCTGGGCCCGCGCCGATAGGCGTGGAGCCCGCCTGCGCCTTCAGCCATGGAGTGACGGATCCACTCCTTGAAGCCCTGGCCTCGAATGACGGCGAAGGCTGCCCCATCGGCCTCCGCCTCGGCCCTGGCCTCAGCGGCCCAGTCGGCCAAGAGGAGCAGGCTGGGGCACTCGGCGGCCAGGGCCACGCGTGCTGCCCACTGGGCGCCGAGGGGAAGGCCCACCGTGGACGGGGGCTTGGGCGCCCTGCTGCTCGCTTGCGCTGCTCCGTCGCCGCTGCTGCTGACGTCGCCGTCGGAGCTGCAGTCGCTGCCCTCGCGCCTGCCGCCGTGGTACCGCATGAACTGCTTTACGCCCTGCAGGTAGCAGTAGTGCTCGTCGTCAGCGATGGCCCAGGCGTCGGGGTCGCTGGCCTCCAACTCGCGGACCTTGCGCGCGTACTTGTTGCGCACGCCCTCGGAGGCCCGCCAGCTGT